ACAACTTCCATGAGCTCCTCAGCCCAGAACCCTGGAAGGATAGAGCAGGTGGGACCATCCAGGCACCCCAACCCCATGTGTTCCTGACGAGGATGCCATGGTGGGCACGGTGCTTACAGATCCTTGGGTTGTGAAGAGACACAGCCCTGGCATCAGCTCCTGGAGCTCAGGTTCAAGGACAGGGGCTCGAGCGTGGCTTACACATGAGCAGAGGCAGGACAAGGACTCCTGCCCATCAGGCCAGCCATCAGGAGGTTTTTCCCTGCAGTCGTGACACTCTGCCATCCATCTCACCTCACCCCCTGCAGAGAGGGTTGGTGGCAACTAAGCAGACAAGTTCAAAGGGTCAGATGCCCTACAAACAGCCTGCCTGCCCTCTGCTGCAGGCCTGGAAGGTGCTCATGTGACAGCTGGTCCTGGTCAGTCCCAAGCTTGCAGAGCTGACCGCCCTGTGCACGCCCACCAGCGAGGGCCACTTGTCAGCCTCTGAAGATCTCTCACTCCCAGCACACAGATGCCCACCTGGCTGGGGGAGGGAGGGATGCAGGGCATGGAGAAAAGGAAGACGTGAGTGGGAGAGGGCGGGAGGGAGGCTGGGAGTGGAGGGAGAAGAACAGGTGGGTAGAGAAGGAGCAGGGAGGACGAGCAGAGGAAAGGCCTCTCAGAGTTTTTTCTAACCAAGACCCGAGGGTTCCATGAGGGAACTGATGAACTGTTTTTTCCAGGAATAGAGGACTTTTGCTTTCCACAATGGACAAATACCTGGAGAGACTGGTTTTTCTTTCACGCTGGAACCTGGAAAATATGTTCATCTGAGACTGCATCCCAACCTCCATATATTCGATCTTCATCACCATGGAAATGGTGGCAACAAGTGAAAGGGGGGAATTGTTAGGGGGAAAAGGATGTCCCAAAGCTAATTCCATACAGGCTTTGTGGACTCCACCCCCACCCCAGGCCAAAGCAAAGACACTGGGAACTCCAAATCCCATCCCACCCAAGGGAAGGTGGCTGGGACCTGAGGGTGGGGTGAAGCAGCCAGGTGGATACAAAAGGCAGACACGTGGGCTTTGGGGATCCCCCATTTTTGGCTCTCCGCCAGCTCTCGCAGCGTCCTGCCAGCTCTGAGAGTGCCTTTGGGTTTCCAGGTCGTCGGATCGGGTAGGACGCATTAAAGACTTTATTTCCCTATTTTCTCCCTGAGTTGTACATTTTCCTTATTTCCTTTTCCCTTGTAAATAAACCTTTTATTAACCTTTTGTGTGTGTCTGTAGTGGAGTATTCATAAGTCCCTTGTAAGCGCGCGGGTGAGGACCCACAGCCAGGAACCCATTTAATATCGGGGCTGCTCTATAACACAGTGACCCTGGTTCACACCCTGGAGACCCCCCCCCACTACAAGTGCAGTGCAGCTCAAAGCTCCTTCGGCACTGGATTTGAGGGTGTCCCCAGGCCAGGCTCCTCCTGGCTGTGCCTCCTGGGAGAGGTGGTTCTTGGGGGTGGGCCTCCCCACACGTGGTGCCTATGCATCAGATGATGGCATCAGTCTTCCATGCGGAAGGAAAAAGGTCCATTTCTCCGGCCTTTTAAAGATTTATTTATTTATGCCCACAAGAGCTGGGGTACAGGCCAGAGATGCGGGGAGTGAGAGGATTCACCAGAGACAGAGTGGGGAACAGAATAGGCAGACTGACCGAAATACACCGCTGAGGGGAGCAGCAGGCGAGACAGGAGAGGTCTGCAGCGCCATGTGGGTAGCTCCCTGGCCATCTGGGGGATTGAACTCTTGCTGCAGAGGCTGCGGACAGCTTCATAGGTTGTATCTTAACCCCTTGTGCCACCAGGGAGGCCCCTTTATTATTAACCATTTTTTTTTTTTTAAAGATTCATCCATCTATACATACAAGAGCTGGGGTACAGGCCAGAGGGTGAGAGGATTCACCAGAGACAAAGTAGGGAACAGAACAGGCAGGCTGACCGAAACACACTGCTGAGGGGAGCGGCGGGCGAGACAGGAGAGATCCGCTTCGCCATGTGGGTTTCTCCCTGGCCAGCCAGGGATTGAACTCGTGCTGCAGAGGCTGCGAATTGCTTCATAGTGCGGTGCCCAACTCCTTGCGCCACCAGGGAGGCCCTATTATTAACCATTTTATTAAAAGTTTCTGTGACCTCTGGTGTAAGGCCTTTATATTAGGATGCTTTTGGCAGGAAGAAATGGAAGCCCCATCTCAAAATGTCCGAAACACTGAGGAGATTTACAACCTCCCTTGATGAAAAACCCAGAGGCAGAGAAGTTTCAGGGCTGGTTAATTCAGGGGCTCCACATGCTCTCATGGGCCCAGGGTCTTTTTATCCTTCTCTGTCACAGGTGGAGTATTAGTTTTTGTTCTCATGTTGGTCCCCCTGAGGTCTTGAGATGCCTGTAGCAACTTCAAGTGTCTTGTGCTCACACAGTAATGTCCAAAGGTGGCAAAAGAGACATCTTTCCCTTGCATTCCTTTTGAAAGGGAGGAAAATTTTCCAATAGCATCTTCTACCTAGCCCTCCCACACCCCCAGCAGACATTACCTCATCTCTCATTTCCATAATGGTGTCACATCCTGATTCCTTAACCAGTCTCTGGCAAGAGAACTGGAATCATCTTAATGAGCTTACCCCGGTGGCACAGCAGGTTGAGCGCAGCACTGTGAAGCTGTGTCTGCAGACTCTGCAGCGCGGGTTCGATTCCTGGCAGGCTAGGGAGATTCCCACATGGTGCGGCAGACCTCTCCTGTCTCACCCTGCTGCTCCCCTCGGCAGTTTTTTTGGTGCATCTGCCTGTTCTGCTCCCCACGCTGTCTCTGGTGAATCCTCTCACCGTCCCACGACTCTGGCCTGTACCCCAGTTCTTGTATAAAATAAATAAATCTTTAATGAGCTTAAACTGAGATTCACACTAGGTGTGGAGGGGTACAGCTTCCCCTGCTGCGTATAGGAGCAGCAGCTGGGCAGGACTGGGGTGTGTCGGCAGATCAGGGAAGAGCTGGGAATACTTTGGGGTAGCTTGGCAATAGTGGCCACCACCTGTGCAAGCTCTTCTGACAAGTGGCATCGCCTGCCTTGAATTAGGGTCGTGCCTATGTGATCTGTCTCTACAATCCAAGGGAGACAAAAGACTTAAAATATTCTCCCCATGGCACACAGGAACAGGGACTTGCTCCAAGCAACTCTCCAGAAATAGTGAATGAATGAGTGGAACCTAGATACAGAAATAACTGCTATGATAGCGTATTAGTATAATTGGACATGATTACCTTTGTTCTGGGCATGTCAGTATTAGGCATCTCCTGTGAGCCAAATAAGATATTTAATAAGAGCAGGTGTGGGTGGGAGGTGAAGGATGACAGCAGAGAGATTGAATTTATACACATGCCCCTAATGAATTAAACTAAGCTGTGATTGTAGATAAAACTCCTATATAATTAGAAAAGCTTTATATTATGTTCTCATTTTTAAGAGAGAGAGAGAAAGAAATCTTTGGGTGGCGAGGCAAGTGTGTAAAAACGTTTTTGTATGATGATTAAAGGAGACATGTCTCTAGCTTGTAAGGTTCATTGATTCTGAGTATTTTTCTCCTGATGCAGACGGAGACAGCCTTAGAGGAGAAGGAACCATTTTCCTAGAATCAGCTCAGAACAAACAAACTCAGGGATACCAGGCTCTGGAGTGAACAGGGTGGTGACAGACTGATGAGATGTCTGCAAAGGGGACGTCCTCCATGATCCTGACGGCGGGGGCCGTCCCCGCCCTGACACATGGGGCTTCTTTTCCCTTCAGTTTCTGTGGCCTCGTGTCTCCCAGATGACCGCCTTGGCACTGGGCTCCAGGAGCCATCTGCCCGGGTCATCTCTGCCAGCTTCACCTGGTGACCTTGA